ACTGTTGAAAAAAAAAGAGCAAATATTAATAAAAAAAATTCTTACAAACTTAACCAAATAGTTATTTATACATCAAGGGCGTAAAACAGGCGTTTATGGACCGCAACGTGTAAGAAAAAGCCCGAATCACTAGGCGAAGGCTATTAACACGCAAGGTCCATAAACGGTGTTTACGCTCGAAATATATACAAAATTTTATGCACGACCCTTTTAATGATAAATTATTAACAAATATATAAAATTTTATGTACGACAGTTTTAATGATCGTTTATTAATAAATAACAACTATTTTTTTTTCGCCTTATCTGAGCAGGTTATTATAAAAGAAATTTATTTTAGCGCCCGGCGGGCGGTAAAGTGGTTCGCGGGCAGTAAAGTATTTCGCGGGCAGTAAAGTAGTTCGCGGGCAGTAAAGTAGTTCGCGGGCAGTAAAGTAGTTCGCGGGCGGCAAAGTAGTCAGCGGTCGATAAAGGGGCACTTTACGCCCGCTAAACGTATTTATAATCTGGACTTTATCTCCAGGTCGTACATAAAAGTTTTTTTAGAGTAACATAACATAAAAAAAAAAATATTGTGAAAAGTAAAATATTTGATAAACCTTTCTTCGCAAAGAAGAGTAACAAGCATAATAAGTAAATCATTTTGTTTCTTACAAAAATATTGTTGTACATTTACATGAAATCAAAACAATGACACAAATAGAATAAAATAATGTACTTATGTATCTAATCATATCTACTTAATATTATTATTTACTTTATTTAGCTAATTTGCTAATATTACAATATACAAATTTAGTAAAATATATATACATATACATACAAGTAAAAACATAGATAATACAAATACAATTTAAACAAACTAACCCTGCTACTATTTCTGGAGAAATTTTCATTAATTAAATAATCTGTAACCTATGTTTGATTTTATAAATAAAAATTAATGTATTCCTTGATAAAAGACTTTTGATTGGCATCCAATTCAAAGTTTTAAACATTAGATTAATGGGAGTATATTTTGAGCAAGTTTCTGCAGTCAGTTCAACTCATTTTGATTTATAAAAAAAAGAGTCTTGTAGAACAATAATTGAAGTGAGGTAGAATGATAGTCCACTGTGATAAGCCAGACAAATGAACTTCTATATATGAAATTTAAATATATTACCAAGTTTTACCAAATTGTATTTCCTTTGGTGGTTGAATTTTTAAGATTACATAACAGTTTTATTTATTTATTTATCATTAGGATGATTTTTAAAATGTTACTAGCTTACGAGATATTTTAAACAAGTAAATTATAATCATTATTATCATTTCCATAAGGAGTCAATAGAAATAATGTAGATAATTTTATATTTCACTTAAATAAATTGAACTAGGTACTTGGTTTTTAAAACAATGGACTCGAGCATATACTTTCTTATCATATACTTATGTTAAATTAGGAATCTAAATCTTAAAAAAATATTTTGGATACCTACATTTACATTTAAGTAATCTTAATCTGGAAACAAATATTTAAAATGACATCAAGTCATTATCTGAAGCTTTCAATAACAGTTAAGTTACAAGCACATTTATATAGGTATATCCTGTAAAGCTGTTAATTCACACAGTAGAGATGGGATTACTGATTTCATGGAAATTAATCGAAAGTATTAAAAATTATATTTGAGGACTAAGGAAAGTATACAATTTTTATTCAATATTACTCATATGTATCATCTAACAAAAAAAAATAATTACTTTGTTACTTTATTAAAGTGACCATACGCCCCTCATTGAAGGGGAGACAGATCCCCCATTTATGACAAGTACCCCCTTTTTAATATGTCCCCCATTACGTTCCTCATTGATACAGTAACTAGATCAAAAAAAAAAATACAAACTGATTATTTTTTTAATATTATGGGTACCTAAATATCATTTAAATATTTCGCAAATGTTTGAAACTGGCTGCAAAGCTGCACCTCCAATTACACATAGTAAAATTACTTAGTGCAAAGTATCAAAACTGTGATTTTTGAGTATTTGTGGTAAAACTATTAAGAGTGGTTTATGCAAGATTTTTAGTAAGTAATGAAAAAAATTCACAGACGTCAATAAAATTTGGACTACAGAAAAACCGCAACTAGATGTGGAAATCCTAAAAGCTACTTTGATTGTGAAATTCAATATTGATAAAACTTGCCAAGAATTAGTTCTATGACAAGATAATCGACCATACAGATTTCATAAATCTGAGAAGTATCTGTAATATTAAATATTTATTTTAAATTCTTATAATTTTTAAATATTTGAGTGAGTAGTTAGTTTAGTAGGTATTTTCGAAATTGCCTTTTTCATTTTGCCATTTCCTCAAATAATCTGGTCACTTAAAGGTATCATTTGAAAACGCGAGACCGAGGCGGGAGATAGAGGCAAGAGACCACGTAAGACGACTGAAAAGTGCTTGCTTCTATGTCTGAATCACATGTTATTATATGAGGCACATTTGGAACCCAGCGACTGAAGCAAGAGACCATGACAGCACTTTTAATAGAGGGTGTATAGAGCAATGTTTACTGCCTTGCTGCCTGTCGCTTGCATTGGTCATGCATTCCCAAATTGTACCTTTATACTTTATATATAATATACAGGGTGTTAAAAAAAAAGTGTCACATAGTATGGGCCAAAATATGCAGAAAAGTCTTAATAAACATATGTCCGCAAATGAATGGTTTCAGAGATACGGAGTGTTTTGTGTTTTGTATCATTTTTTGATTATCTTTTTTCATTCTCAAAAACTTGCTTTTCTTATCGGAGTCTACCGATGTTTTTTCATAGATACTATTTGCAGTTATTATTTTGTTGTGGGTGAATAATTTTATAAATTTTCGTTATGCCTGTTTACACTAATATTGAATTAGCTGACATGCATTTTATGTACGGTCGTGCAAATGGCAATGCATTGAAATGGAGGGAGGGCACTTTGAACATCTCATTTAACTCTATGTTGTTATTGATTGTTTATAAATATCATTGTTTTTTTATAATAATAAAAAATTGTTATAAACACAAAATGGTCCGTATCTCCGAAACCGTTAATTTGCGGTCATATATTTATTAAGACTTTTCTGCTTATTTTGGGTCATACTATCCACCATTTCATTTTGTGACACTTTTTTTTAACACCCTGTATATTATGCAGTTAGGTATAAAAGTTAATTATTGTAACAAAGGCCAAATATGTAAGCAATTTAAATGCTAAAAATATGTATATAATAGATAAGGTATAAATTGTACATACTTGGGATTTTTAAATAGTTTATTCCATGATATTAAATTAAAACTGCCATATGAGCAATTTAAGGAGAGAGGATAGTTCAAACTATTCACAACTATTTATGAAATTAAGTAGTTGACAGTAGAGATGACAATCATGGTATTTTTCATACAATACAAACTGAAAAAAAAAAACGTTCTTGTTTGCTTATGGGCCAATCTATTCAATTAAGTACATACAATTTTAAGTAAGTAAATGAGTCCAATAAAAACCGAGATAAAAACTACCTTAAAGAGGAAATCATTCATTGACAGTTCACCACCTCTGGCCAATTCTTTGTCAGTTGGTTGCAACAATGGTAATGATAAACTTTGACAGAGCTTAAGAATGTGATCTATAGTGGAATTCTCATCTTTCAATATGTCTAATATTGAGACACCTATCTTCATTCAATAGACTGCGATTATTGGGTAATGTCTCTCTCTATTTGATAATTAAAGTGTCGAATTCGCACATCCCTGTGCTGTCCTGAAGATCTGTCTAAATGACATGAACTTCAAATCACCCACATTCTAATAAAGTTATGAGATCATTAAGAATTGAGAGATTTAACAAGTCTTGCGAAATTTTACTCTTGTGGTTGAATTTTTAAAACAACATGACAGATTAACAATTATTTAATAGGTATTTGAATGATTTTTTAAATGTTACTATAATAAACTATAATCATACCTAAATTAAATTAAAGTTTCCATAAGATTTCAACAGAAGGTAGAATGCTCGGTAGAATGTGATCTGTCTGAATGACAAGAACTTCAAATTATAAACAGTCTAATAAAAGTTATGTGTACATTAGCTATTGAGAGATTAAACAAGTGTTCTTGCAACTTGATTAAATAATTTTTATGGCTTATGATACTTCCTCTGCATCTAGTGGCAAGCATTTTATTTATATCTTTAATGAATGGTAGCTTGGTAAGTACCTAGGTACTTTAAGATAGGTATAAACATAAAATCTCAATTAAACCTAAATAATTAAAGTACAAAAAAGCATAATTTTGAAGAAAAGTTTGTATGAATAAGAATCTCGGCATGATAAGGAATATTGAAGTTACTTAATTTGTAAAATTAATGGTTCCAGATTTAAAAGCTAAAAATAAGTAATTGACATAAAATTCATCAAATAAATTTTATCAAAAAAGTATTTTATTAACATTGCAAAATTATTGGGTGTTCACAATACCCATAAATCTCTAAATCATAAAGTATTTCAGTTGCAATCTGAAAGATTTAAATAAACAAATATCTTAAATACAAATACCTATTAAATTCTATGAGTTTAACTGAATAACTTTTGAGAAAAATTGTTTAATTTTTTTTTAAATCATAGTATTCTGTAAATAGCTGATGACAAAAGTTAACAATTTGATAAAGTAAAATCTACAAATATTTCAAAATAACATTGAAAAATTGGTAATAAATAAATCTCCTTTAACAGCTGTACAATAATAACTGATCACCTTGGCACTTTAACATTCCGATAAATCTGAACCATTAAAAAAAAATAAACTTGAAGTTAAATTGAAAATAAATCGCTGATTATGACCTCTACAAGAAGAACTGTTTATATTAGATCCTGTTACACTAATAATCACAGAACACATATATTTAACATATATGCAGAAGCAAAATGAAAGAAAGTTGGGTTTATTTTAAAAATCTGAAATATTTTTACCTTTATTTCTCATATCTTGCAAAAATCTCCATCATCTAGAACTCATCCACAAAGAAAACTTATTGTTAAAACTTCACATATGAGACCTCAAATTGCCACGCGTAGTAGTAACTTTCAATGAATAGCAGAACTGTTATACCCTTCACTCAATTTCACTTCGACAACTACTATTTATTTGAAGTAGTATATTTTTCGTCAACATGAATCTCACAAAGCGCAAACGCTTTGCCAACGAATAAGGAATATCAACTTTAAAAATGTCACTGTCACTTTGACAATGTCAAAACAAATCAAATTATGTTGGTAGCATAGCTTTCAAGCCTGTCAGTGGAATAGTTTTAGTCCCATTTTTGTGTCACACAGTTTAGTCCGAGCTACTATTCGGAGGAATTTCAATAAATTCTAATGGAATCTTGAGGCAAATAACAGATAAGGGCCGATTTCACCGTTGTGTTAAACGAAGTTTAAATTACTAAAGGAAGATTAAAATGACATTGTTAATGCAAAAATGTCATTTTAAACTTCGTTTAACACAACGGTGGAATCGGTCCTTAGTAATTTAAACTTCGTTTAACACAACGGTGGAATCGGTTCTAAGGGCCATTTCTACCGCAAGTCATTAATAAATAAGTCAAGTTTAAAATCCCTATAAATTAAAAAAATATCTTTTAATTAAAAAAAAAAAAACTTGATTTGGGCAGATTCCACCGTTGTTTTAAACGAAGTTTTAATTACTAAGGGCCGATTCCACCGTTGTTTTAAACGGAGATTAAAATGACGTTGTTAATGTAAAAATGTCATTTTAAACTTCGTTTAACACAACGGTGGAATCGGTCCTAAACAAAGCAGACACAGATTAAAATGCCATTGTTAGGGCCGATTCCATCGTTGTGTTAAACGGAGATTAAAATGACATTGTTAATGTAAAAATGTCATTTTAAACTTCGTTTAACACAACGGTGGAATCGGCCATAATGTAAAAACGTCATTTCATACTAATTAGAAGGGATTTTTTTTTTTATTTCTAGGGATTTTTTATTGCTGACAGTGTCGCTGGTTGGAATCATTTATTCACTTTTTTAAGTTGGCATTCTTGCATAGTGACGTATCAATTCTTCAATAAAAGTGGGACGTATCGGTATTGGTCTCGCCGTCAATTAAATTTCTTTATTAATTTATATTGTAAGTACATTCATTAAAATGGATGAAGAATACGATTGTATTGTATTGGGCACTGGCCTAAAAGAATGTATTTTGAGTGGACTGTTATCGGTATCGGGAAAAAAAGTTTTACACGTCGATCGGAACAAGTATTACGGCGGAGAGTCTGCTTCAATCTGTCCTCTCGAAGAACTTTTTGCAAAATTTGGGGTACCGCCTCCAGATGAGTCTTACGGACGAGGACGAGATTGGAATGTGGACCTCATTCCCAAGTTCCTTATGGCCAATGGTCAGTTAGTCAAATTGCTAATTCACACGGGCGTTACTCGATACTTGGAGTTTAAATCTGTTGAAGGAAGCTACGTATACAAAGGTGGAAAAATTGCTAAGGTAATTATACTAGACTATTTTGTAATTTTCATATAAGTACTTACATCCAAAATTATTTATCTGTTAACAAAGTCTCCTTTATTAATAATAATTAGAAGTATTTACAATCAAATCAATAAGGAATGTACATTTTTGTTTTAGTATAAGTATTTACAATTTTTATTTACCAATCGTAACTCGTTTTCTCTTTATGAGATCCGGTTAAAAATATACTTACCTAATTAGGTTTTAAAAGTCAGGTTTGACATGCCACTCTGATGATCAACATTCTTTTAATTAATGCCTTAAGAGTTTAGCACCTTGACTGCTCCTCAAGCCTCAGACTTGGAAATTACCAACAACTGGAGACCCAAACATTGGGTCCACACTAATCTCTAAAGTACCTTGATAATATCTTAATAATTATTGTTTATAGTACTTAACTCCAATATAAACTAAACTTGTCATTACCCTTATCAAGGCATGTCACTAATTGAAATTATATATACTTACATTTATTTATGTAAGAACAAGTTAAACAACATACTCCAAATAACAGCACAATAGATCTGAAAAGGTTGTGGCGGACAAGGACAAATAATGTCCAACATGTCAAAGAAGGTAGTAGAGCACCTAAGCAATTTTGAGTTGAAACCTATGCCACATTTTTAGGCTATTATTCAAAAATTTTAGGCTCCTTGTTTTTTTGCAAAAATCAAAGTGCTCTGCTAGCTTCGAACGAAGTCAGCAGAGCACCTCGTTTTTTAAAGCTTTTTTTCTAAAAAAATGAGTGCTTTGCATGCTTCGATCGAATACAGCAGAGCACTATGGTTTTTAAAAGAATATTTGCTAAAAACAACCACACCACATTTTTAGGCTATTTTTATGCTCTTAAAATATCCTAAAACTTTTATAAAAATTTGCAATTTTTAAATACAGGGTGCTTTGTTGGAACAAAGTCAGAGCACATCGCTTATTAATTTTTTTTCTACTTTTAGGCTACTTTTAGGCATTTGAAATACTATAGAAATTTTCAAGAGAGAAAAAATAGTATTTTTTAAGAAAAAAATGCCATTTTTAAATAATACAGGGTGCTTTGGTAGCTTTGAATGAAGCCAGCTAAGCACGTCAGTTTTTAAACCTTTTTTTCTAAAAACAACTACACCATATTTTTAGGCTTTTTATTAGTTTTATTATAAAACTTTTCAAAAAAAATTAGCATTTTTTAAAAAATACTGGGTGCTTTGTTAGCTTCGAACCAATCCAGCAGAGCACCTCAGTTGTTCAAAGCCTTTTTCTAAAAATAACCACACCACATTTAGGCTCTTACTTAAAATGTTATAAAACTTTTAGAAAAAAAATTGTTATTTATTTATCGGGTCTGTGGTGTAGGGGTCTAACTTGCTTATATTCATTTATAAGCAAGTTTATGTGTCAGAGAATGCTGGACTTCGAATCCCAGACCAGACCATGTGGATTTTTAATTAAATTGCATGGTTCGGTATAGGATTTGATGTGTGCCATATTAATAGAAATTCAATTTCTGTTGATATGACATGCAGATTATAAAAAAGCGCCATACATTACCGTCTCGATGATGGTAGGTGAGGTTTTCCGGGTTTTCCTCACCTGTAAGTCAAATGGCACCATCAATCATCTTTAAGTCGCCCCGGAGCACCACGGCAAATAATAATAATAGCCGTCCCTTTCCCCCGCACAAGCTCAGCTTTTGGGGTTAACATTCACTCGTAATAATAATAATAATAGTTTATTTGTCCTTTAGGATCATGTTACATGATATAGGATAAGTCATAATATATATGAATAAAAAATATTAAAATACAAATAAATATAGGTACAGTATACAAAAAAATATATATATATCTAAGACATGCACATTAAAAATATACAATTAGAAAATCATTTACCTTAAAATATGGTGGTATTCAGATAAATTATAAAAACATGAATCTACTAAATAGTTTTTAAGTTTTCTTTTAAAAGGTTCATATTTCTTTTCAGATTTAATGAAATCAGTAAGTTGATTAAAAAATTTAATTCCAACAAATTCAGGCGATTTCTCAAATAATGCTGTTGAATGTCTTGGTGTTCTGAATAAATTTTCATTCCTAGTTGAGTATTCATGATAATTTGAATTTTGTAAAAATTGGTGTATGTTGCGTTTAGCATATAGCAACGTTTTATAAATGTAAATACAGGGAAATTTTAATATTTTAAATTTTTTGAAGTTATATTTACAAGTTTGCATTAATTCTAGATTAAAAATAAGCCGGATTATTCTTTTCTGTAAGATAAATACTTTAGATGCATTGACTGCATCACCCCAAAGAATAATGTTGTATGATATATGAGAATATGCTAAAGCATAGTAGACATTAAGCAGTTGCTCTTGGGTAAATATTGATTTTAATTTTAGTATTGCATAGTATGTGCTGTTTAATTTTTTACAAACATTAGATATTTGGCTATCCCAAGCCATATTGCTATCAATATGTATGCCCAAAAATTTTGTAACATCTGAGAGCATAATTTCTGCATTATTTACATTTACTTTACAATTCTGGGTAATTTGATTTCTGGAGTATAACTGAAGGCAAACGGTTTTGTTTGAATTAACAATTAAAGAATTTCTATAACACCATGATGTAAACTCATTAGATAAAATATTTAATTTACTAATTAATTCATCTACTGATTGTGCATTGGTGGCAATTGTTGTGTCATCTGCATATAAAATTATGTTTTCTGAGTTAATATGATTAGGCATATCATTTATGTAGCATAGAAAAATTAGAGGTCCTAAAATTGATCCCTGAGGCACACCCATATCAACACTTTCTAGTTCAGATTTACAATTTCCGATTTTGACATAGATCTGTCTGTTATTTATATAAGATGACAACCAAGACAAAAAGTTACCTCTAAAACCAAGCCCTTCCAATTTTTGAATAGCGACATCTAAGTTGATTGAATCAAACGCCTTTGACAAATCAAAGAAAAGCGCACCCACAAACAACTTTTGATCGATAGAAGTATGTATGAAATTAAAAAGATCTATTGCTGCACTTTCAGTAGATTTTTCTGGAAGGAATCCAATTTGATTTTTGCATATTATTTCATATTTTTTAAGAAATAGCATTTTTTTGTGGACACACTTCAAAGATTTTGCTTAAGATTGTAGGCACTGTAATAGGTCTATAATTATCAATTAAATTATTATCACCTTTTTAAAGATAGGAGTTACATATCCTACTTTCAGATAATCTGGGAAAATACCTAGCTGAATAGACTGGTTAAGTCTGCTAAAATTTGAGAGATGTGATGACTAATACGTTTTATTATCTTTGTGGAAATGCAGTCAATGCCCATACAGTTAACATTTTTTAATGAGTGAATAACTTCAATTACATCACGATGATCAACAGGAGAGAAGTAAAAGGTCTGAGAGACACATGACGCAGTAAAATTTTTAAAATTCAAATCATTGAAATGAGACTGTAGTGCTTTTTTGTGGAGGTGGCAGAATGCTCTGCAAAAACTTTAGCTATTTGTTTTGGTTCAATAATTGACAGTCCTCCTACTTCAATTTGTTTAATTTGAGAACCTTTTGATGTTTTACCATCTTGGTGATTTACCTGTTTCCATATATATTTTTGTTTTTGCTGAAAAGTTTTATTGTGCAATCCCTTTTGAAAATGAGATCTTTTTGCTCCATTTATATTATTGACATATTGTTTCTTTGCTTCTTTGTATCTAATATGTATATTCACATCATTAGAATTTTTAACCAAAATAAATTCCTTATATCAGCTCCCATCCTCAAAATATCTGGAGTTATCCAGTTATTTTTTTATTTGTCTTTACAGCTCTTGTGACAACCGGACAATTTACTTCTATATAGTAATTTAGAATATTTAAGAATGTTTCATAGGCAAGATTTATGTTATCAAAATATTCATACACAGAATCAAAATTTTCAGAACTTATTTTTTGCTGCAGATTAAGTAAATTCGCCTCTGATAAGTCTCTAAAATGTATTTTTTCATTGATATCAGTTACATAACATTTTTCCTTTATATAATTTAATGACACGTCAATTGCTAGGTGATCTCCAATACAGAGGTCTACCAGACACAGACATCATCGCGAAAATAGTCAAAACGGATTCAGGGGACCTCAAAACGTAAAAATCCGTCAAAAACTCGAGGTCGAAAAAAATCATGATTCCTATACTTTCCTTATATCTGTATACAGATAGGAAAGTAAAAATGTGATTCATTAGAAATAACACTTGACGTGTCCGAGAATTTTTAACAAGTTTCTGAAATAAGTGGTCTCCACTCAAATTTTCTTTTGGGATCTTTGTTTAAAAATTTTGGTCTTAAGGAATCCTGATCCTTCATATTCTCCGCTTATTGCATTTAAGGATGTAATAAAATAAACGTAATAAGAGATATATTGCAGGTTCACTTTTAGGTCAGTCACTATTAGCGTCGCTCTTATTTTGACATCTGAGAATGCGCACATCGTTTACGTTCTAGAACTGACTTTATTAAAGATCTTGCCCGTCCTTAATTGTGGATGTTTAAGGGCAGCAGATAGTGGCGACTTTATAGCTTTCCGGTGCGCTCGCCGACATTCGTATCAGTTCGAAGTTTTTTAATATTAAATATTTAATATCATCGTCATCTAAACCTTCTAAAATGATAATTAAAATCATACAAAATTATAATTAAACCCTTTTATTTTACATACTTTAAATGTAATGCAATAATTTACAAAGTATATTAGAAATGGTACTATTTATGGAGATCTCACCTGAATCCCGCTCAAACGCGGACCATGTTCATTTGCTATCAAGATATATTTTATTTAGCTTGATGACCAACGGAGTTAACGAACAGCGTCAATTCGCAAGTTGGCTAATTTACTATGTTGATTTTCACAAATCCAGGGATTAATTCTAACCCATAAAGAGTAAATTTTATAGTAGAGGCAAA